TTATGGGCACAAAAATGAAACCATATCATATATACTATTTTGTAAATGAAATTTTATACTTACAATTTTCATGTCATTGCATATTCTTTTACTGCACCATTTTAAATGATCACACATATTATTGTGTGTGGCAAGACTGTGGGTGCATTTTAAAAAAATAAGCAAGACTCTATAACCCCCCCAACCCCACTAGTTTTTTGCTGTCTACTCTGCTGCAACCAACATCCTTGTAAAACTTCAAAAGTAGAAGTCAGAGAATATGCATAATCCTAAGGTTTATCATAGACATTGCCAAATTTTCATAGCAAATGAAAAGGCACTTCCACCAGAGGTGGGGGGGTCCTCATTTTAAATAGGGTAGTCAGACGAGACTCACTGAGAAAATATTTAAACAAAGATTTTAGGAAGTGAGGGGAGCAGCCATGCAGGATTCTGGGAAAAGTGCAAAAGTTTTGAGGTAAGAAAGTGTCTAACGTGTTCAAGGAAGAGCAAGGAGGCCAGTGTGGCTGGAGTAGAGGGTGCAGTTGGAGATGAGGTCAAAGGGGCAAAGGGGTCTGTAGTTTTTAGAGGCCTTACAGATGAAGGCTTATGTGCAAATGTTATCTTTTATTTTCAGTGAGATGGGGAGCCATTGGAGGGTTTTCAGCAGAGGCAAGTGACAAGACTTGACTTACATTTCCATATATCGCTTTGGTAGTGTTGAATTTAATAAGGCAAAGTAGAAGCCTCAGACGAGTCAGGGTGCTACAGTCCTGCAGGTTTACCTGGAGGTAGCAGTGGAGACAGGAGGAAGTGGTAAATTGTCAAGATGTTTTGAAGGTGGAACTGGCAGAATTTACTTATAGACTGATGTAAGAGAAGAGAGGAATCAAAAATGATTTCAAAACTTTTGGCCTGGGTAAATTGCAGGGTCATCAGCTTGCCATCAGCTTATGTGGGCAAGACTGTGGGTGAAGCAGGTTGACCTGGGGGCTAAGTTCTATTTTGGACATGTTAAGTTTGAGATAAGCTATCAAAGTAGACTGTGAGAGTACGATATATGAGACTGCACGTCAAGGGAAAGTCCAAACTGGAGATAAACATTGGGGAATTGTTTGATTGTATATGGTATTTAAAATCATAAGACTGGTATAGATCACTCAGGAAATTGATATATACGGATGAAAGAAGGCCAAGACTAAAACTTGGGAAACTCTTCGTTAAGAGGTTAGAGAGATGCGGTGGAATCAATAAAGGAGACTCGAAAAGAAGTAGCCAATGAGATAGATGGAAAAAAAGGTCATCATGTCCCAGAGGCCAAGTAAGGAAAATGTTTCCAGGAAGAGGGAATGACGTGCTTTTTCAGTTGGTGCTGATATGGTCGGGTAAAGTGAGAGCTGGACTTGATGTTTGGACTTAGAAATATCCAAGTCATGGGTGACTTTAGAAAGAGTAGTTTTAGAGGGAACACTTTGCAAAAGCCAGATGTGAGTTGGATCAAGAGCCTGGGATGGAGAGAAATTGGAGAAAGTGAAAATAGACAACTTTTTCAAGGAGTTTTGCTGTAAACTGTAGGAGAGAAATAGTAGCAGTGGGTAGAGGACATGAAATCTAAAATTTTTTTAAGTGGGATATATAACAATATGGTTTTATGTTGATGAGAATGGTAAGGGGGGTGTGCAGAGAGAGAGACTGAGACAGAGGAACAGAGAACAAAAGAGAAATGATACTGGGGTGATTTTCTTGAACAGAAGAGAAAGGGATGGTAACTAGTGAATAAGTGGCTTTATACGTGAGCTATTAGAACCCGCACGAAAGTTATCAGGAAAGCCTAGGTCAAAAACAAAGTCATTTATTAATAATTTTCCAGCAAGGGAAAACCACTAAGAACAGAACATCAGTGATCTCACAGAAGGGAAGTTACAAAAGATTTTTTAAGGGTTAGCTCTTAGGATTATAAATCGGGTGATCTTTTCTGGGCAAGCTTTTGAAAATGGGCATGGAATAGGGATTGGTCACTTTTAATTGGCTTGGGAGCATAGAGTGGGAGTGGAGGAAACAGGGAACGCTTGCTCAGGGGGTAGAAAGTTTCGGTTACACTAGATGGGAAAGTTCTAGAGATCTGCTGTATGACAGAGTTCCTGTAGTTAACAATATGATATTGTACACTTTAAAATTATTGAGAGGGTAGATCTCATATTAACTGTTCGGTCACAAAAGAAAAAAAAGCAAAAACTAAAGGCCACAGGGCAACTTGGAGAGGTGTCAGGATGTCTCTGTTACCTTGACTGTGGTGATGATATCACATGCAATTGCACATGTGCAATCTCATCAAGTTGCACACGTTCAATATGTGCAGTTATTTCTATATTAATTTGTTATGGACTGAGTGTCTAAAGCCTATGCGCTTTCCTTTTTTCTCTATAATAACTTCCTGTTAGGGAACAGAGATAATGGAACTGTTTCATTTATTTATTTCTTATTGAATTGATCCTAACCCTTTTAGAGACACACCAAGAAGACTTTGCCTTTCAATTCAAGCATATCTCTTTCCTTTCTGTTAGTTACAAAATAAATTCTTAATGGCAAGTAAGTTTTATGACTAGTGCTTTGTGGTTACAAGGTAAACACCGCTGAGTTTTTTTTTGTCTACAGTTTCTTTTAATAGTGTTGATGCTATAATATTATCTGATAGTCTTGCTATTCCTTCCTATTCTGGTGCTGCATAATTACCTGAAAACTTAGTGACTTAAAACAGTAATTTATTATTGTCTCTCATGTGTATGTGGGTTAACTAGGCAGAACTATATGGTGTTTGCTCAGAGCTTCTCTGGCAAGTGCAGTCAGATGTTGGCTCCCTGGGGCCCTCCCACTGGCCAGTGACACTGCCTATTGGCTGCATCAGTGGAGCACCTACAATGAGTTCCTCATGAGGCTTGGGTTTCTCCTAGTATGTTAACAGGTTCTAAGAGCAAGCATCCTCAAAGTGCAAAAAGCAAAGCTTTTTGGTGGGGGGTGGGAGGTCTCAAGGAGGTTTGGATGCTATTCTAATAAGTTTAGAATTTATTCTCAGGGCAATTGGGAACCATTGGGGGTTTTTACATCCCATTTTGAAAAGCAGTTCTTTTAGGGGATGTGGATTTAAAAGTTGTATTAGTTTTCTGTGGCTGCTGTAACAAATTACCACAAATATCTTAAATCAAAACGAATTTATTATCTTACAGTGATGTAGATTAGGAGCTCGACAGATTTCACCAGGTTAAAATCAAGGTGTCATCCATATTGCATTCATTTTGGGGGAGAATCTATTTCCTTGCTCATTTTGGTTGTTGGCAGAATTCAGCTCCTTGATATTGTAGGACTAACGTCCCCATTTCCTTGCTCATTGGTGGCTGAGGGGATCGTTTCCAGGTTCTACAGACTGCTCAAATTCCTTGCCTTGTAGCTCTTTTTTTCCCATCCTTCAAAACCTGCAGTGGGGGCGAAGTTTCTCTCTCATGCTTTGAATCTCTGCTGCCTCTTCTGGTGTCACATCTCTCTGGCCAAATATTCTGCCTTCCTCTTCTGAGGGCCCATGTGATTACATTGGTCCCACCCAGACAATATGGGAAAATTTCAAGGTCCATTAACATAATCACATCTGCAAAGCTGCATTTTCCATGTAAAGTCACATGTTCATGGGTTCTGAAGATTAAGGTGTGGACATTTTGAGGGGAGCATTATTCTGCTTAACACAGACACCATTAAAGTATAGATTGTATTTTAAACCTTGGGAGTAGAAAATATTGCCCAAGAATAGTGTGTGATTGTTTCCTGAATGTTCATCTGCTGGGAGATTACTTTACCCTTCCTTGTTCTACATGACACCGTCTCTTGGGAATCCTGAATTCTTCCAAATCTGGGACATCTGGAGAGGTGTTTTACCAAGTTCTCCACCAGAGGACTGGTACCTGCTTTCTTGACCTTGGTAATCCCATGGTCTGTGGCTAAACCAGTTTCTGCCCTTCCTTCACCTCCTCTCAGCCATCTCTACCTCTTAAGCTCTGCTGCTGCCCTGGTACTGGACTCTTCTTGGATCTAGGTGACTTCTTCACCTTGCTCTGGAGCTACCAGGGCCTCCTTTTGGACTTGATTTGTGGTGGTTGTCACTGAAGTTTCTTTTTCACTTACACCCATCCACTAGCTCCCTCCCTGCAGCATGCTGCAATCAGAGTAGCACTGAGGTGAAGCATGACCATTCTGAGAAGAGTTTATTTCAGCATCCAAGATCTTAGCCACAACTATGAGCGTTTCAAGCCCTTTGAATGACAAGAGAGGTAGCAGGAAAATAGAAGCCAACATCTACTTTGAAGCTATGGGCTCACCTGTAGTTTTGAGGCTAAGAGCATGGGACTGAGAATCTGACATTTTGGGGTTCCATTCCAGGCTCTGTCTACCAGCTATAGATAAGTAACCTCTTTTAGTTTCAGTTTTCTCATTTGTACACTGGGAATAAAAGATAACCTAAAAGGCTTGTTAAGAGCATTAAGTGAGATAACGGATGTAACCCACTACTGTGTAGGAAGCGCTCATTTCCTGTTTCGTTCTTGGTGCTTCAGATCATTTTGGGATATGGGTACAGATACAAACAAGACATAGGATACGCGTATGATACGTCCAGATGTTTGTATTTGGACATTTTATTTTGGATTTGGGGAAAATTGTGGTTTGTATCACCAATGGCAGAGTCAGGGGGATGCAGAGGGAACAGCATGGTCTCATTTGTCTTTAGCGATTTTCTCAATCCAGGGTATATACTTGTGAACGTCGGTGTAGATGCCCACATCTCCTCCCATGAAGTGTCCGACCTCGATCCCCTGGAGCTTGTCTTTGCAGATGACAGTAGCAACGGCCACCTCCTACCAGGGATCGTGCAGAGAGAGACAGACAGAGACAGAGACAGACACAGAGACAGCTATGGTCAGATTTGCTCCTTACAGGAGCCCTGTAGTCAACTGGGATGAGCCCTGTCTGGAGGTAACATGCTCCTTGTCATGAGAACACTGAATCGGGATGCAGGAAGCTTGAGTCATTTATCTAGCTTTACTGTCACTAGCCTTCTGTGACCTTGAGAAGGTCAGAGAAAACCCTTTCTAGAACTTAAGTATAAAATGAGTAAAAAACTCCATTTATTTGAATTGGTGAAGGCAGTTTCATTGTATGAAAAGTCTGAATTTTTTTTTTTAAGCAATACCCATTTTCACTGACAGCCATGTGAATAGGAACCAGGAGTTACTAACTGCGGTACTGCCTGATGCCCATTAACCGACACATTCGTCTGTAAGGAGAGCCCTTTGCTGGAGCCTTATCAAACCTCCAAGAATGATGAGGATGAGGCCTTTCTATTTTTTTAAATATCATGATTAAATAGCTAACTAGACATATATGAGTAAGTGAAGGCTGAATATAGAGAAAAGATTACCCCAAAAAGTCGATTGAGCACTTTCACAAATTTAACACATAAGGAGTTCCTGTGGCTTCTGCCCTGTTCCACCTCCTGGCATTCTGCATCAGACATCACGGGGGCCTCCAGGTTCTGCCTTAAATCAGGGTGTCTGCCTGAGAGAAGACAGGGATAAAAGACCTTCCGTTCACGATTGTTATTTGGCCCTCCAGTCACCACCCTCTATTTCGACTGGTGTTCTTTTTGTGTGTGTGTGTCAAGAAAACAATGAGAAAAAGGGAAGAAATGAGCTTGTGCATGGTAATGAGTTAATCCTGAGAATCTTGAAATAGGCTTTATGTCTCTTTAAAAAGTAGGGTCTCAGTTTTACTCTGTGTCCTATCTTGGAGAAATTAGAGGTGTCCTAACTCAAATTCAGGTGTCCTCTACGTGTGCAATGAGCCCGTATGGGAGGGAGGAGCACAGCCTCTTTAATGTGAATTGTGCTCTGACAATCAGGAAGGCTGTGGCCTCTGTGCAGAGGCTGCCAAAAGCCCTGAAGAGGCAGTGGAGCATTAGATACTCTGGGAAAGGAGCAGCTTTGGACTTCTGGGAGGGTCTCTTTTTTGCCTCAGACCACTCATGTAGTATCTCCCTTTGGTCTCCACCCATTCTCCTCCCTTCTCCGCCGTGCAAACATGGGTGCTCCTCTTCAGGGATAACGGATGACCCCGATTTCCTGTGGGAGGTGCACTCACCGATGTTATCTTGGCTCCAGTCCAAACCTGAAATCAGACAGATGGTGCCTGGCTTGACGGCCTTTGTGGCGAGGGGAAGGAGCTGGACTTTGTGGTTGAGGTTGGCGGGCTTAGCCAGCTTAATGAGCATGAGGTCATCCTGGGGGGAACTATGACTGTAGTTCCAGTAGCGGATAATCTGGATCGGGTTCAGTATCTGCTCTGTCCCATCTCTGACTCTGGTCCTGAAATTTCCTAGCATCACTTTCAGATTTCTGCAGGGGTAAGGGGTTGGAAGAAATATCGTCGTCATCAAAGCTGATACTGAATGTTGCAGGGTGCCAGGTACGGTGCCAGGTGCTTCATCTGGATTCGGGATTACCTCATTTACCACTCACAGCAAATCTCTGAGCTGGATTCTATTTTGAATCCCCATTTTCCAGATGAAGTAATGGAGGCACATAAGGGTATTCACCCACGGTCACACAGTTAAGTGGTGGAGCCTTTAACCACTATGTGTTCATCTAATGTCTGTAATGTAGCAGAGAGGAGAAGCATGCAAGTCATAGAAATACTATTTTCCCTCCTCCCTAGCTCTAGCCTGTCCAGCTGGGCACTTCCATTCTGGTGGGGGTGAGAGAATGAGATGACTCGAGTGTTGGCTCTCTCCTGCTGGCATCATCAGAGCTACTGACAACCCTATTTCATCCTACTCTGTACTCCGGAAGGTGGTACATGTGAATGAAATCAATGGGCTTTCTTGTCCTCTGGTGTCTAAGTGGGTTTTGGCCAATAAGAAGCAAGAGAAAGTATTTGGAGGGAGAAGAGTGAGGCTGGAGTATTTGTCCTCCCATCTTCTTTCCAGCAGGGTTGCCACAGATTGCCTGCTGGCTGTTTATTGATTAAAGGTTACAGCTCCTATCAGGCAGTCTCTCCACGCAGAGCTTTCTCTCCCCTGGCCCCTCACCTGCTCTTTATTTCCCCTTCCCGCCTTGTAATCATTCTCTCCCCCCATCCCTTATACTTCTAGGGGTAGTAACTGCACCTTTCTAATACTAAACCTGGGGGGACTGAACTGTTCTTTGTGTTTTCCCTGTAACTAGACCATACCTTTGTTGTAAGTTCTTTTTATAAATTCTCGATCCAATCAAATTTGAATTTACCATCAGTTACCTGCTGGTCCTTAACTGACAAAACACATTCACATGGCCAGTAAAAAACTTGAAAAACCTATGGAAGACTGAGGAGGCATAATACGTAGAGCAGGGCTCCTCGGCAGTGGCACTATTGATGTTTTGGGCTGGATAATTCTCTGTTGTCGGGGGCTGTCCTGTGCATCGTAGGGAATTCAGCCGCATCCTTGCTCTCGCCTCTATTGGCTAGGTAGATGCCATTAGCGCAGCCCTCCCCTCACCCCTCCCTCCAGTGCGACAACAAAAATATCCTCAGACTTTGCCAGATGTACCCTGAAGGGAAAAGTGCTTCTGTCTGAGAGCCACCAATGCAGAATGAGTACTAGCTGTTTTAGTGGGTGAAGGTGCCCAACACTCACGGTAAGTAGCAGTGAGCAGGGGCCAGCACCCAGCTGCTTTTGATGAGGACACCCACACAGGGGTTGAAGTGGGACTTGAGGTATACCAAATAGGGAGCATGGTCTTCCTTCTGCGCGGATGAGTGAGCGGACAAAAATGTCCCTGAGAAAATAATATACATAAGATGTTCTTAGAACAAATAAGACAGTCAACAACTTCCTAGCTGAAAAGAGATATGCACGATTTTAAAGAAGTAATCAGTTGGCCAGGAAATGTGAAGATGTTTGACATTTTTTTCTAATAAGCATGCAAATCAAAGTGACATACCATTTTAGCATGATTTATAATAAATATCAGAACTATGAATGTCCAATACGATAATGTTGGACATTGAAATGAAAAAGCGCATGAATAAATGGAACATCATATATATTAAAATTGTATTTATAAAGAATATTAAACAGCAAAGGAAATATTGGTAACCTTTCTTTAAGTTAAAAAATAATAAAAATGTACATTTAATCCCTTAATCTGATTGTCTAAAAAAAAGTAAATAAACAAAAATAAACCATTAAAAATAAACATATGAAACGTGGAAGTAAGTTAGGGAATAAATTCAAACAAAGCATTGGCAAGTGTTGACTGGGAGGTGAGATTATGAATGATGTTTATTTTTTCTACTTTTTAGTATTTCCAAATCTTCTAGTATGAACATGCGGTGCTTTTATAAATGAATTATCAAAAAGAAAAAAAAAATTAGAGAAGAAAGGAGAGGAAGGCTGATTCTAGTCTCCGAAATAGTGTTCTTGTCTCAGCTGCCCTTGGTTCTTATGCCAGTCCTCCCAAGCCTAGGCCTGGACCTCTGTGTGGTCACACAATTAGAAACCACAAAGGGAAAAAGGTGGTGTATTAATAAGGAGAAGAGATATTGAGCGCTTGTTCTAAGTGCTTTACATGGATTTATTCAATCTTCACAACAGCTCTATAATGTAGATTAGTAATATGCCCACTTTGACTGTAGAAACTGAAGCACAGGTAGATTAGTCAACTTGTCCAAGCTCACAAGGCTAATTTGCGATGCAACCTAGGCAGTCAGGGAGTGGTGGGAAAGGCCTCGCCTGCAAATTCTGCCATCAGAAGAACTTCGTGGTCGTCAGGGAGTGCAGGAGGAAGGGCCCTTGCATTTGACCTTTCGTTCCCACCTTCTCCACTCCCTGCCTTCTGAGTCTGTAAGCTTTTGAAAAAGGGGGGAGATCAGAGGTCTTCTGTCCTTGTGACTACACTGAGACTTATCCACTGTGTGATGGGCCCACATTTTGGAATAACCAGGGTGGAACACTCACTGTTGAGCTTTCTCCAAGGCAGGTGTACACCATAACGTACCCCTTAGCTTAGCACAGGGGGCTCAGCCTGTCTTGAGAGCGTTTGACTGGGGTCTGAGCAGGGAGACCCTTGTTCTGCTCATTCTGCAGTTTTTCTTGCCTCTCTTTTTGCACCTTCTGCACATCCTGCATCTGCCTTACTCCATCCTACATTAGCCTGTTCCTTATAGAACAGAGCAGAAGGTCATGGATACATACCAGCAAGGATACTCAAACAGAAGATAAATTTCATAGCAGTCCAGATCTTTCCCTGTGAGGTGTGGAAGGTCAGAAGAGCATGGACCTCTCAGCTCAGTCTTCTCCTCGGGAACACCTGGGAGAATCGTGGATGTGGTTGGGGATGCGGACATGTGGTGAGGTTGGAAAGAAGCTCTGGGCAAAAACAGGGAGGAAGAAGAGGGCTCCCTACAGACAGATGGAGGCCCTACTGCTTCAGGGAAGGTGGAGAGGGGGGAACTGTGCCTCTATTGGGGTCTCTCAGGAAGGACAAAGAAGCCTAGTTCCTAGACTTCTGGATTCAGGTCCCTCTTTGCTGTCCCTAGAAGTCCATCTGCCTAAAAGTAGTTCAACTGCCTGTGGGAAAGGGAGCTCTAGGCTCAAGACTTATTTCCCCATGGAGTTTCTGAGGCCAGGGCTGTGGAGGACAGGATTCCCCACCTTAGTTCAGGAAGGCAGTGTCCCTTGGTTTACTCTGAACCCCTCGATGGTTACTTATACTTCCCATGAGCCCCTCCCATCTTTATTACACTGGCTTCATCTTTCCCTGTGATCACTATTTCATCATTCAGCCATCATCACCAGCTTGGTCTGGTTGTTGTGATCAGCAGCTTTGAGCTAAGAAAATGTGAAAATAAAAAGCATTCATAGAGCAGTTTTGACAGATGGGGAATGCTTTATATTCTAGATTACATTCGATCTAAGATCTACTGAATGATTGGTGACAATTTAGAAGGCAGGACCTCTAAATGCTATTTACCTCATGAAAAGATTTCTCACCTAATCATAGACTGCCACTGTCATTGGATAATTGGGAGCACACTCTAACAAGAAAAAGAGCAGCGACGCTAATAGCTCACATTCATTGAGCACTTACTGAATCCCAGGCACTGAGCTAATTCTTTACAGGCATTGTTGGTGGAGATTTTATATCAGGTTAGTCTGAGATGTAAAAGTAAACACTTTGTATAATTCCGAACATTCAAAATTTCTTAAACCTATAATCTCATTCCAGTGTCACAACCACCCTGGATAGAGGACAGGGCTGGGGCTGGTATCATCCCCCACCCCAATCTATGGGTGACAGAACTGAAACAAAGAATTTGAATGATTTTCTCAAAATCACACGTGACTGAAAAGACTAGAAGTCGAATCTATGTATGACTGGATGCCCACAACTTTTCAACCACATCCTCCAGACTTCAGCTAATTAACCAGCATCCATGGATCTTGGAAAGCTTTACAGTCCCTCACACAAATTCCCTGAAATGCAGAATGAAAAATTGGCACATACTTTCCTGAACCTCACAACAAACACAGGGGTACGTTGGAAGTTGGGCTGGTTTATGAAATACACTCGAGGTTTGAAGACAAGATGGAGTTGTGGAAGGTTTTCTGTCGTGGGACTGGGCTTAGTTAAAACAGGTAAAACTTTGAGAAAGAGATATGCTTTACTTTCAGGTTGTTTTTCCTAGATCTTTTGGAAAGATTCTGGGCCAGGAAGGGAGTTTGAGGCTGGTTTTGGCGTACGAGGACTAAGAACAGAAAAGCAGATTTTCTGGAGGAGTTGGCGCTGGGAACCACTACCTGTTGATGAGTTTCAAACTGGTGTCTCTAGCCCAGAGCTCTGGTCCCACATATACAACTGCCTCCTGTAAACCACTGTTTGCATCTTTTTTCTGCTCCTGAAATTTAACAAGTCAAAATTAAACTCCTCATTCTTCCAGCCTTTCAAATTCATTCTTCTGCCTGTTTTCCTTAGTTTAGGAGAAAACTCTACCTTCCACTTGTTTAATTTTTCTGTTTTTGCGACCACACAACCCCAAAGTCCATTCTACTTCCTGAAATCTCTTAAATTCATCCATATCTTTCCATTCTCGCTGCTGTCACCCTAATCCAAGTCATACTCTTGTCTCGCTTGAACTAATGCATGTGATTTTCTACTGTTGCTCAACTTGACATTCTTCTACTCAGATTTTTTTTCTAAAATGTAGCATCTCTGAACCTCAGTTTCCTTATGTGCAACATGAAAAACATAACTTCTAAGTTTTAAGACATAATTTCTAAGTTTTAAGAACATGTGAAACATCCTAAACCTGTGTTAGAGTGAGTGGAGTTAACCAAGTGAAGTGAGGTGGATTGTTTCAGACAGAGGACCCAGCCAGTGGACTGGAGTGCAGAGGAAGGAAGTGGACTGAGTCATTTGATTTTAGAAATGATCCCGGTCTGGGTGAAGGTCAATGTTTATTCTCTCTCTGGACCCTGGTTACACCATCCCAGCAGGAGGGGAGTGCTGACTCATAATACCTCATTGTGAATAGGTAGGGTGAGGTTAACTTCCCTCCTCAACCACGCTGACATCTTTTGGGTGAAGATGGAGCTCTGTCACATGCCACTTACTGTCACCAAATAGGGGCGGAAGCTCAGCTCCCTCTGGCCCCTGCTCACACCAAAGGGGTGAAGGGAATTGAAGATTTGCATAAACTAGCACATTTCCATATTGAAGGTTTGGGATTGAAACTCAGCTCCCCACTGGGCTCTGCTTTACCAAGGGATGGAAGAAGCAGTGTGCTGACCAGCTCTGCCTTACACAGCCTTGTTCAGTCTCGTTGTTGTCAGATGGTGGTGAAGGCTCAGCAACCTGCTGGGTCCTCGGGACGCAGGGCAGGGCGTGGTGGAGGGAGGGAAGTAGAGCCCTGTTAGTCCAGCCTCGCATCTCCCCCTTTGCCCTCCTTGCCACTGGGTGAGGCTCAGCTTTCCCCTCTGCCCTACGCACACCAGCCTGGTTGGGGATTTGGAGTATTGCCTGCTTCCACTGAGACTGGGGATGGAAGGTTAGCTCCCTGCTCAGCTCTGGTGAAGCCATGGTGGGTGGGCATTTTTCCACTTTTTTTAGAGTGGGTGTTGTCCAAAAGATTTCCTTTCCGTTAGACCACCCTTTCCCCTTTCCCTTAGCTAAGGGGAGCAGGGTTTTGCTTGGAGGTTTTGTTTGTTTGCTTGCTTTTGGCCTTTGCCTGTCGGTGGTTCTGGGTTGCAGGCTGCTCCTGTGCCCTGTCCTGGATCTATGGAGACATAAAAAGTAAATGCAGGGTTATTGCTGCCATGTTTTTCCTAAAGTCCCCAGGTTTCTCGCAGTCCACTGTCTTCTTTTCAACGTTCAGAGTCTGCTTGTTCTGCCTGTTGTACAAGGGTTTTTAGTTGTAAAAGAGAGGAGCTGGGAGGAATGGGGTACTCACTCCATCTTGGATCAACTGGGAGTTGAGCTCTAATGTTTTGAGGGGTAGAAGATGAGAGACCAGTAAAGTAAAAACAATGTGATTTTACACAAGTCAGGGGAATCTATTTCTAAGAGGAGGGAGTAGTTATGTGTTCTGTGTCTGTGAGAAATTAAGATATATCAAAAAAATAAAAAAGAAATTAAGAAAGTTAAAGCTGCAGACACAATGAAGACAGATAGTTGCTTTAGTATGGAGTTAAGATTTGCCCAGCTGAAGTATGACTCAAGGACGTTAACACAAGGGAGTTCCAAAGAATAATAAAAGCGTAGTTCAAATGATGAATAAAGGAATCTAACTTGGGTAGAGAGGGCAGTAGAAACTTCTAGACAGGGTCTGACTAGAAATGGAGAGGAAAAAAAGAGTCAATATGTAAGTTTCCAATGAGCTGTTAGAATCAGTGACTTTGTAAAGCTCTGTTCCAAGTCACAGTACTTTTGGTCCCAGGGCATCAGGGCTTTGGTGGGAAGAAACCTGGACACATGTAGAGTCAATGACCAATATTTAGTTGAGGGGCTCATCCGGGTCCATAACTCAGTTGTAAGTAGGACAGGACCTGTTCTTCAGCTTTCCTTCGAAGTCCCAGTGGCTTGAAAGGACTCTGGGTATCTTGCTGCTAGAGATAAGTTGGAGCTAGTGGTAGTGCAGGCTTAAAAGCTAACAAGAGATGGTCTGGAATCAGGGATACACTGTGGGAGTTAAATAGACTTAGATTTATATCTGTTAATCCCAAATTCCTAATCTATCCATCCTCACCCCTTCCCCTCCTGGTAACCAGTTTGTTTTCTATGTCCGTGAGTCTGTTTCTGGTTTGTAAATAAAATTTGTGTCTTTTAATTTTTTAAGATTCCACATATAAGTGACTTCATATGATATTGTCTTTCTCTGTCTGACTTCACTTAACATGATAATCTCTAGATCCATGCATGTTGCTGCTAATGGCTTTATTTCATTCTTTTTGTATAATTATCCTCCTATAAAAGAACCAAATGTGTGTGTGTAGCTGTATATGTTTTATGTTTTGTTCTGTTTTTTGTTGTTGTTGAAGTATTGTTGACTTACAATATTATATTAGTTTCTGGTGTGCAATGGGGTGATTCAGTTTTTTATATATATATACACATACACACACACACATATATATACATTTTCTTTTTCATGTTCTTTTCCATTGTGGTTTATTGCAGGATGTTGAGTATGGTTCCAACCTGTGCTATACTGTGGGACCTTGTCGTTTATCTATTTTCTATGTAGTAGTTTGTCGCTGTATACGTTTTAAAGAGACATACTATATCCAAATATAGAAGGTAAACACTGAGATTTTGTGCCACCAGTATGTATTTTGCCTATATATTTTCTAAGTAGCATGAATTTAAAGATTAAAAGTCTACTTTACATAATAAAGAAAAAAAGACTTAGATTTATGTACTGGAAGACCTTAGAGTAAGAAGGAATGGCATTACGTATGCCAGTGGTTCTCAGCCTTTTCGAGAGTCAGAACCCCTTTTAGTCTTGAAATCTTTTGAATCTTTTTATGATAATTGTTATTAAAACCTTATGTAATAACAAAAAGGGTGAATTAACTCTACATGTTAAAGCAATTTGTCCTATTATCAAAACAGTGTTTAACTGGATTTCCTGTCCACTCTACTTGGGAAACAGATCTCACATCCATCTTAACTGCTGCCACGTTAGCACAAGCCACATCACTTCTGGCTAGGTCTGCTTTATTTAAGCCTGTTTCCACTCATGTCTAGTCAGAAGCAAGTGATGTTTAAAAAATAGAATTGGATCATATCACTCCCATACATCAAATTCTTCAAAATATTTCTATTACATTTAGCATAAAATACAAAATTCCTGACTGCGGCTTCGAAGACCTGATTGATGATTCCTGCCTCCCCTCCAGGCTCATTCTAGGCCAATGTTTTCCTTGCTCTCTATGCTTCACTCTCACTGGCTCTTTTCAGATTCCTGAGCACTCCTAGTTCTTTCCCGTTTTTGAGCCTTTGCACATGCAGTTCCTCTCCTGGAAAACTCTTTCCCCTAAACTTATGGCCGTTTTTCCTCATCTTTCATGTCTCATATTATCTGTTGCTTTCCCAGCAAGTTCTTCTTTGCTAACCAGACTAAATTAGATCCTTCATTTACTGCCATTATTTATTCTTTCTTGTAGAACACTGTTACTGTCTCATCACAATTTGTAACTATTCACTCATGTGCCTGCTTATTTGTTTATTGTCTACCTCCCTCATTTAATGAAGACAAAGTCTGCTTTTGCTTGGATACCTCTTTATATTTAACATCCAGTGTATTGCCTGGTACATATAAATATTTAGTAAATTAAAAAAGTAAATGCATGCATATATAGATTTGGAATAAAATACACATGTATGTATACATAATATTAACTTTCAGTCGTCTCATGATGCTTGCTTCACATATGGATCCATAAAACTGTTGCATTAATTTCAGAAACTTCCAGTGGACCCCTGCACACAAAGTGAGCTCTACCCTAATCTCTCATTAATTCATTTGTATAGTACATATGTACTGAGATCCTACTATGTGCTAGGCATTGTGTTCAATGCTGGGGATATTTTATAAATCATTGTTCCTTCACTATTTAATGTGTAGATGAAAAACCCATAGACCCAGAAATATAAATTGACGTAGCAAGAGAAGCCCAAACTGGAACATAGATTTTAAAAATTGATAGTTTCTTATTTTCCTGCCTCCTTTCCTAAACTGGGGAAAGCAGGATATGATCTAACTTGTTGAACCCACTAACAAAATGCCACCAAGAACACAACAGTAATTTTTTCTTTTAATGAGGTTTATTTTGCTTTATGCAGCAGGGAGAACACACTTCAGAGAACCTCAGAAGTGCCCCAGCAAGGGGGAGCTGGAAGGAGTGTCTTATGGGGTTTGAACTTGCGCTGGATAATTCTGAAGATGAAGTTAGATGTGTGGGGTCAGTTCAGAATTAGATGCAGTGAAGAAGAAGGAGCAATTTGGTAACTGGGTACCTCAAAAGTCTTTTTTAGGAGGTAGGAGGATTAATTAGGGCTAGAGCTGTCACTGGTAAAGAAACAGCAATAGTAAAAAGAAGGGTGGTATCAGTCACTATCTGATGTTAGTTATTTGGGGGGTCATAGAGAGGGTTTGTCTGTCTTTTTCTGAGCTTTATTTTGCACTTTCTTAACATAAAAATAAAAATGTTCTTGAAACTGCATTAGCAAGAAATAACATTTATTGAATACACACATTATATGTCAAACATTCTTCCAAGCTATTTACATACGTTAACACATTTAATCTTCACAACAACCTTAAGAGAGAAGTTCATTTATGATCTCAGTGTACAAATAAGAAAGTGAAGATATAGAGGTTTACATAATTTGTTCAAGTTCATACTAGTAGTGAGGATAGAGCTAGAATTTGAATCCAGGTCCCTATTTCCAGAGAAAAAGTACTGTACTATATTTAAATGCCCATCGGTACAAAGTATTTTCATGCCAGAATTAAAGTGTTAATTTTAAATTTATTTAATTGTCATGGTGACTGGCCTCACAGCAAGCCTGCAGTCCACTAGTAGGAAAAGGTTGCTGTAGAAAAGACTGCATTGCTGTGACTATGGATAGAACCAAGAAGCCTTAAGAGTTTGGGAGATTGGAAATGAGCTACGCCATTCTGAAAAGCTACAGACAGGGTGAGGAGAAGCAGGGAGGTCCTGCTGAGAAGAAGTACATACATAGGATTTGGAATCAAACTAAAGTCGGAATCCTTGAACCAAGCATCATTCACTAGTTGTGTGGCTTTAACTAAGTTTCCTAATGTTCTTACTCTGTAAAATAATATAAAAATTATCCACCCACTTTTTTTTTCCTGTGAAAATTTAAAAGTTTTCTAAAGTACCTATATCACTTAGTACAGTGTTTGTACAGTATGGAACTCTACTACCACAGGGCAGGCTAGGTGATTAATGTGGTAAATACTTGTATTATCTGACACTGGTGTCTTGAAATCTCCGTAACCACCCCAGGTTCCCTTTACTCAGCGGGATTGTATCCCTTGAGTCTCCTCTTTCTGTGTTCCAGGTGTTATTTCATTTGTTAGTGAAGATACCAAAGGCTTAAGTAGTCTTTTCTACTTATTATACTTGAAATCCAGTAACCAGTCTTGTATGGGGACTCTGATTGCTCCTAAGTGGATGATAACAGCGGCACACTGCTTCTTACCATAAGTGATGGGGAGCAATCTGCTCTGTTAAGGCTTCAACGCTGGGACTCAACACTTCTCATGGAAATTGTGAAAAACCCATGCTGATCAGGAAATCCTAAGAATTTGATGGTGAAGGGGAGGGAGCTCAGCTACCCGGATAAAACCTAACTACATAGCCTTATGTTTAACATGTTCAGAAAGGAAAAAGTAATATGGTATAATATATCTCACATACATAATAAAAATAAACCTGCAAATTGTTCTTAATGGTTTTAAGATTCATCTGAACTTTTGGATTCATCCAAACTTTTATTTTTCATTGCTATATAATATTTCAACGTGAATGTCACACAATTTGGTTCATTCTTCCCTTGACAGATATTTGAGTTATTTCTAGTTTTCTACTGTTTTGAACAGTTACTTTAAACATACTTGTACCATGTACCTTAAAAATATATATCTGTGTAGCAGTTATTCACTGTAGTCTAATAAAGTATCATCCCAGTAGGGAACCCTGAACAGTTTAGATCCTCCCATGTTGTATTCTGAAATAACCACTCTGTATTTCATTGATTTTCTTTTGTTTGGTGATCTCTGAGGCAGGATTCAGAGTTTGGCAATGCAACATGAAGGAGTAGGAAAAGTATTGAAGTGTGGGTGGAAAACTTGTTAAAAATCTGAGAGTTTGAAGTTTAAGCTAAAAGACATTTGAATTTGGAATTGACTGGGAGGCCAAAGATTTAAAGAAGTGGAAGATTCTCTCAAGATATGAGGAGTAAGTTGTGTTTTGCTTGTGTGTTTTGTGTGCATGATGGAGATTTGTAAATGACGTTGAACTCTGGGTGAATTCTCAACTCCAACAATCATTGTCAACAGAAAGTCAAGCTGCAAATATTTATGTTTTAAATCTTAAATTATAAGCCTAGTTAAATCTTTCTAACAACTAGTTTTAATGTTCATGGGTACATTTTATGTAAGTTACTTTTTACAGTATATATGAAAAGATTCATGCTAAGTACAAATTATAGAATGGAGATCAGTTTGGGGAATAGGTTTTTGTGGATTTGTTGATACTTTAAAAGAAAAAGATTTGATTTCTGGGGAATTGGGACCAATTTTCTTATCTAGATTTTAAGACTAGAATGCCCAAAGCAAAAGTATGAAGGAAATTACAATCCTTTTTTAAAGTGATCCGTGAAAACATTGTTACTGGAAATTGAATAGACTTGAGTCCTTGATTCTGGAAAATAAGGATTTGATTGTCAGGCCTATATTAGGTTCTGAACCTTAATGCCATATATTTGTACTTATTAAAATTTTTTTCCATGAAAACTACATTAGTAATATGATCTTCTGGTCTAGTTGGGAGTTGATTTGAAAAATGTGATATTTGCATGGGACTGTTTGAATCTTTGTTTTTTCAGTTTCCCCTCCTGGATAGGATTGAAGCTAGAATTTTCCCTTTTGATAAAGGAATAAAAAGTAAACATGTTATTTGTAAATTAATGATTAGTGCTAGAGAGAAAGTTGAAATACTTAGAATACATTATAAGCCTAATCCTAGGTAGCCATATAAAAATATTGATTTTTAACTGTCTTCTAAACCTGTATTCACATTGGTTTTTCAAGATATTTTAAGTTATATTTTCCCTTTTCAGGGCTGCTTCTATGGCACCGCTTTTTTTTTTTTTTTTTTTTTGTAAATTGAGGTGTAATTCACAAAGGGCTGCATTTTTTGATAAGGTTTTTTACAACTATGGTTCATGTTTTACTCTAGTCTTCTAAGAAGGGCCATTTTACTTTTTAGAGTCACTTCTAATGTCATGTGGTATTTACCTTTGGGGACTATTT